GAAGTTCGCTGATTTGGTCGCCAACCAGTCAGTCGGAGAGTGAACTGCATCAAAACTAATGCGTGGTCCGACGCAGGTGGTCCAATAGGACCTGCAATGTTGCACTGAGCCATGCCAACGATGGCTTACTGTTATATGGTCGATTTTAGTTAGCGTACCAGTTGAACTAGAGCGCCTGATTACCCTGCGAGACGACCGATGCAGTATGAAATTATTTTGGTTGTGTATGCATTTGAGTTTGATGGACGGGTACTGCCGGATGTCCAACCACTAAACTGGAGAACGATTAGGGTTCTCGTCCAAAGCCTTTAGGTCTAACTAGAACCTGACCGCAAGGCAGCGGGTGAAGCGAAGTGGAGGCCCATTTACTTAGATCGATTACTCTTCCACCGTTTTTTACCGACTGAAACGCAAATTCCACTCGAACCCCCATCCTGGAGGATCAGGAGAGTGTACTTCGTCGGACCTATATCCATTGACCTTCCAGGTATGATAAGATCTGCTGGCTTGGCAAAAGCCATCCTGTGGGTTGGATCAGGGAGGTGCACAACCCATCAAACTACGTCAAAGTGCAGTTTCGTCGTGATGGCTGAATCACGATGAAATGCAATCCGTCCGGTCCTGCTGCTTTATGCCTATTCAAGGTGTTGGGCTCTCAGACCACGTCGTTTTCACAGAGGGTAAACTCCAAATTGCTCCCTTATTCCAGTCAGGCGGTAGTCCACGGTCTGTCCTGTCGTTGGTGGCCGGTAAATTCCCTTGAAAAGGTAAGGAGTGCATTCGCCTTTTTCTGGTCGGTGGTGGTCATTACGCCTTCCGTTATCTCCAGTGTACCTACTCTCTCCTAAGTGTTCTTGTTTACTTGCACGTATGCATGAAACCTTTTCAGGTTATGCCTTACGTTTTGCGCTAACTTTTTCTCACGTTCATACTTCGCCTCCCTTTGAAGGGATTGGGCTCTATTGCGTGCCCTCTTGTGGATCGACCACACATGGACTGTCCGGTACGCCCTAAAGCTGTCCCAACATCTCAGGACTACTACTGCCCTATCTAGCTGTGGCTTCCACAAAGTAGGTCGTTTCCTATTGCTCCTAGGTTTGAGGGATGGAAACCTATCAGTTAGTTTGAGCAGTCCATGAATTTTCAGCCACTAGTCCTGTAACTTTACATAGGTGTAGCAGTATAAAATGCATACTGTTTCAATATTGTTGTGGGAAACTCACTTTTATTTACGAAGCCGTAACTCTGGATTGAGGAAGTAATACTTTGGGTTATGAAAGATACGCTGTTTCGGTCAACTTGCATTCAGCGCACCTCGTTGGTCGAGTGCTCGCGTTTTTTCGACCTTCTGACTGATTATCCGTCATCTCACGCTTTTTCTGTGTGTTTTCGAACTCTCTGACGGACGTTGATTTGGTGGGTCGGCGAGGCCGTGCGATTTCTGCGAGATAGCTTGACTTTACTTTACTTGGACCGGACTCGATAAACATAAAGGAAGACGCACTGTTTCGTTTGCGCTACAGCTAGGGCACAACTGGTCGTGGTTGCTCGGGCACTTCGCAAGGGTGGGCAGAATTCCGACATAAGAAACTACAGACCGGTAAGCCTAATCAGTACCTCTGCAAGTGCATGGAAAAGCTTATTAGAGAGCACGTATGTAATCATCTGCATTTTACTCTCCTACGTGGGACACAACATGGATTCCTAAAGCATAGGTTCTGCCTCACTAATCTCCTGTGTTACTTGGCGGCCGAAAGATAGCAAACAAAACCGGCGCACGAAAGTGCATGGTTAGTAGTTGTACGAACTGAACTGAACTTGAAAGAAGTCACAAAAATGCTAGATGAGGGCTAAACCATTGAGGTTTGCTATCTCGATTCTGGCAAAGCTTTTGACCCTTACGTTGCTCCTGCAGATTATCAAAACCTGTGGTATAGAAGGGAATCTATGTAGATGTTTGACTGCATTTCTGATGGATAGAACTTTCTCAGTGAGGGTAGGGGAGGCCAATTATCAGATCATTCGATTGATCAGTGGAGTATTTCAGGGTTCGGTTTGCTGATCGTTACTGCTCCTATTATTGATCAATAACTCAACAGGGTTGCCAAATTCACCATGTTTCGTCTCCGCAGATGATGTGAAGGCCGTGAAGTCAAGTGGCAGGGTTAACCTAGTGAGGAACATTGAAAGTGTAGCTGAATGGTCAGGTAAGTCGGAGTTAGCGCTAAATGCAAGCAGTTGTCAATTATTGTCCAAGGCACAGCATTCGTTAGT